ATGGGACGATGCGTATCCAAATTCCTGCCATCGCTGGACAATCACGGAGCACATGAATAATGGACTCCACACCATTCTTGCAAATCTGACAAATCTCGGTGTCACACAAATGTCTCCTGAATCTCTCCACATTAGTCATAACCACTTGCTTCCCAACCAGCCATAAGAACACACGTACTCTTTCTGGTGCAATTACCTTCCACAACCGCTCGTAAAACTTATCCATATGCTGTCTTGGATATTCATCTCTTGTTATCAGCTCATAAGCTGATTTAACAGTAAATTTCCCATTAGTCGTCGCTGCCCATGAGAATCTATCTTTAGCTCCTGTTACCGTATCCAAAACAACTGCAGCAAGCTCCAAACGCCTATTCTCGGATATATAAGGCGTTTCTACATAGAAAATATATACAGATTACCAAATTTATATATATTTTTTTTTTGTTAAAGCCCAAATTTATATATCCTTTTCCTAAAAATGGAACTAATTCGAAAAAAGCAATAATCCAAAATGATTAAAAACTTCTAGAATCCCATAAATTTGAGCCAATGAAAACCAGTTTTAGCCACTTTCTCAGCTTCCTTTGAACAAGATTCCGATGATGAACCACCGCCGATAAAGCCTCCGGTCTCTTTCCGGCCACATAAGAAAAAGTTCCTCGACCCAAGCGATATCAGCTTCTCCTCTCTTCCAATACTTTCAAGACTAAACTGAGAATAATGAAGATCAAATCTTGACGGTTCAGATTCCGGTAAAAATGGCCGGCGAGCTTCTTTAACATACTGACGAATCGCGGCGTCGATTAGATCACTCACGGTGGATTCCGGCGAGATTATAATTTGTACAGCTCCTAAACTTCCTTGCACCGTTACGTTGAGTAAAAGTTTCGTTAGACGCGGCGGGAACGATTCCGTCACCGGTCCGGTGATGCTTTGACCGGTGGAGAATAACTCCGGTAATGTTTTCGGTCTTCGAAGCTCTCCTGGATTCGATACCGGCGTTGTTCCTCTGCCGTGAAACGACATCGCTTTCTCTGATAACTTTCTCCGGTGAGACTTCTCTGTTTCCGGCGTTGTTTTCCGGTTACCGTTCTTCATGTTTTATAGATTTTTTATCGTATGAAGCTTGGAGATACGGTGGCGCTCTCGTGTTGTCGCCGGTCACCGGAAGAAGCTAATAACATAAAGTCAGAGTGGCAAAACTGTAAATAGTGGAGGATGGTGAGGGTATAAAGATAAAGAGTAATGGAATGTGAGAGAATATATGGAGTTGAAAGAGTGAAGTATATATAGTGGATTTGTAGATAATGAAACGGTGAATAACTCCAGTTTTACCCGGTTTAACTTTGGTAGGGCTTACATAAGTCTTGGTAGGGCTTATAATTTGTAAACTAACAAAACGAGATATATATATATTTTTTTTTTTGACATCTTTGGATCGACAAGGCCCGATCCATAGCCAATTCCTACTACGCGGGGTAACGCGTACTTAGTGGAGTCGAACTCCGGTGGGGAAGGCGGAGTTAAGTGGACTTAACCACTTGACTAAATGCACATTCCCCAAAACGAGATATATTTATATCGTCTATTTTATGAAAAAACATAAATGAGGAAAGCAATGTAAATACATACTACATAATTAAAATATTTAAGTTTTCTAACATGCTTTTATTTCACAAAACATAGAGAAAAGTTGTTTGTAGCATGCTTTAATTTCATAAAAGATAAATAAATAATGGATTCACTCAATGCTTTCAATTCATTTAAAAATATACTAGTTCTGTTCCTAAAAGAAAAACCAACATTAGTTTTTTTCTTGTTTCATGAAAATTGATTTTTAATTTATGTAATTTTTATTAATTAATGTTAACAAGTTGTAAACTTCAAGATATATAATAGATGGGAATATTTGAATATAGGAGTTATTCTTGGTTCATAATAGCATAAATATTTGTTTTGACGTGAAAAATGACGCATTAAATATTACTATTTTTTTTAATATATGCAAAAACAATTAAAATTAATCTTTTACTAAAAATGGAAGTATATAATTAAAAATCATATGCAATTTTCTGTTACTAATGGTAACAATGTGCATGAATATAATAAAATTCCAACTGAAGGGAATGAACTTATTCTCATAATTACTTTGATTTCACAAAAGATTACAATTTACAAACAATAAATTGTGTTGACCAAACTAAAAAAGAATACTAAAATCAATTAGAAACAATAACAATCATTGAGCATTTCAAGAGGTGAACACTATATTACAAAGTAACCAATGAAACTAACAAAGAGTCGAATCCAACCAAAACCTAGTCCAAATTGGTTTCTACGACCAGTGGATAATAATAATGGAATTCATAAAAATTCAGAGCCACCGGTTAAACCTGGACCCAGTACCGTACTCACACACATAATTAAACCTCCGGTTCACCTCCTATAGCCGGTTCCCTTCTCTCATAAATTTTCAAGCAATTTCTGAGAGCATGATTATTGGTAGTATCTTAGAAATATCACTTAGCAATATTTAAGTAATATATTTGTAAAAGTGATTGTTAAGAGATAGTATTTTTGAGTTAAGATTTTTGTGTGATAATGGTAGGCTCTTAACATGTGGTTCTTAGAAAAAAAAATATTAATATAAAAATAAAATTTATAATTATAGAAAATTTAATAATTGTTGCAAATTAAAAAAATTAAAACATACATGAAATACAATTTATAACATAAATAACATAAAACACAAATGTTTTAAACTTAATTTCTGGAATATTTTGTCTATATATACTCGAGTTTCGTTTTTTCTGGAATATTTTGTCCATAAAGAAAAAAACACGGTTTCGTTTTTTTTTGTTTATATATTTAATGCATCGATCCCTGAAACGCTGACACATGTCCACCTCTTAAGTGGGTTTTTGTTCCTTAGCTAAGAAACGTTTCTTAGCTAAGGAACGTTTTTTAGCTAAAGAATTTTTCTTAAGGTTAAAACACATTTTAGATTAAATTATATTGAATTTAATGTTAACAAAAGCCTAAGATTTTTCTATGAGTCTCCTTTTAATCATGCTTAAGACTCTTGCAAGGTTCAACGAACAAACTTAGGCCTAGCCGCCTAGGCCTACAAGGCCAAGTCTCTCTTAATTACAGACAAATTAAATAAATAAAAGACTGTGTAACATACAAAATACACATGGCAGGAACAGAAAGTGAAGATGGGACCAAACGGCCGACAAAACTGAAAGATGCCGGAGACGTGACCAATCTCATCCTCTTCAACTTGCTTTGCGATTAGTCCCCTCAATAATTGCATAGTATATAGTGACATCATTTGGACAATTATGTTATATAATAATATAACGATTTAAATTAAAGAATCAAGAACAACATTAACTATTGGAACTAAACTTGACTTATCAAGGCATAACATAAAATAGATACAATTATTTTTGTTGGGCATAGCATTACGTAAGTAAACCTCATGGGCCATGGCAACAGATTATGTGACCAACTTATGTGAGGTTTAACGAAATATCTAATTTTAAACTAATCAAAATAGGAGTGGACCTAATATTAGTGCTTTTCTGGTATGTATACGAGCTTCTTCACTTTGATGCTTCACGTGGCCTAATTTAAAAAGTGTTTTGTGTTTTTAATCATACAAAATGCAAAGCCGGAACAGACCATTGTTTTGTGTTTTTAATTTCTAGTAAAAAAGTGTATGATTGAAAATACAATTTTATTTAGAAAGATTGAATCTTACGGCGGCTAGTATATAATAAGAAGGATATTTTGTTATCACACATAATAGAAACGTGGCTACAAATTTGATAGATAGGCTTCCACGATTCTAACCCAATTTGCATTTGAATTATGATGCTTTATTTTATTTTTTAGCAGAAAAATGTTCTCTCTTTTATTTTTGGCTCTTTGTTTGGGATGTTGCCTCCCCCGGATGATAGCAACTCAAGCTTCATTTCCATTTTTTGTTCATATTTATTATCGAAGTTTACATTAATATTTTTTTTTTATATTTTGTATTTGCTATAGTTTAAAATCAATAGAGAAAATGTCGGTTCTTTCTCTTCTTTCTCTTGAATTTTTTAGAGAGAGACCGACTAACTTGTTATAGTCCGGATATTTTCTGGTTATCAATTTTCGTTTAATGGGCTCTCTTCCAACACTCACCAAATCTTTTGTGGTGTTTGGTTGGCTTGTATCCGATATCGATTTGACTTCCATAGTTTCGATGATCGGTGTGGCCGTCGGCGATTCTTGCCGCTTTGCTCTCGGTTGTTCATGACCGAGTAAAGTTTATGTTATGGTGGTCAATGATGTGTCCAAGCCACATACTCTTGAAATCAATTTTGATCCCTAGCTTTCATGCGTCTTCAAATCCTTCAGATTTAGCTTCTCTTCCCTAGACCTTCAACCGATTGATCCCAATCTCTCATCTCTTAGATGGGTGATGTTGCGGTTAGGCGGCTCCTTCAGCTTCCTCCAACAAGAATTCACAATCAGATTTGGGTCAAGATCTGAAAGGTCTACTTTTGCTTATCGGTGTCAACATGTTTTTGATGGTTCCAAAGCTTCATCATCGAAGCCTCATCAAATTGGGTTTGCAAGTAGATGTTTTATTTTCTTACGTCGATTTAATAACAAGAGAGGACGAGTAGTTCAGAGTTTTCCGGCGGTTATGGCGATTTCCGTCATCAAAACCAAAATTCAGTTCTCGGAAAAGAAGTAATTGTGTTTTCAGATGCTTCTCAAAGGAATTATCTAGGGGTTAATTATTAGATTTCGTTTGTTTGATTGTGGTTTTGTGCGTGTAATTGGCTTATGTTATTGTACTTTTGGTTTGTGTTTTACCTCCGGGGAATTCTCGTTTCCGCCAGCTAAATATCCGGGGACTTACATGTGTCCTCCGGCTTTGTATCATACGTAAGTTTCTCTTCCTTCATTTGAAGGTTTGAATAAAAGTTCGATTGTGAAAAACAAATAGTTTAAAATCAATATAAAATCCGACTCTTCTGTTCGATCGACTCGTGCAATCAAAACAAAGATTTTGATCCCATTTTCTTCAATCCATTTATATAGAGATCAACCATGTATTATGATAAGCCAAAAACGTAGGCACTTAGAAAACACAAATTTGATTCCCGTTATGATAGTTAAAAAGACAAGATTACCAGCTTCTATTGGACTGGATTATGGGTAGATTTAATGCATGAACAGTGAAGCACCTATCATTTGTAGGTTGACTTCAGCTTATACAATGTGAATTATTATACTATAATTTTTTGGGCTTCCATATTCTTGCTTCCAAATCAATGTCTCGAGGAAATTGAGCGCATGTGTAAGGCGTTTTTGTGGAAAAAAATCTCAAATTCTGCTAGTGGTGCTAAGACTAGCTGGGAATCAGTGTGTACTTCCAAGATGAGTGGCGGGCTTGGCTTGAGGAGATTATTATCTTGGAACAAGGTTCTAGGTTTGAAACTCATTTGGCTTATCTTTATTATTAGTGGACCTTTGTGGGTTTCTTGGGTCATGCGGCATTTAATTGGGCATAATTGTTTTTGGGATTTGAGCCCATCCCTTTGTTGTGTGTGAGGTATGATTATGGATTACTAGTAATTTATGGAGTGATAATTGGACATCCCTTGTGGATGTCGGATTTACACACTCAAGTATTTTTATTAGTAGGAAAGATTATTTTTGAGGGACAAAAAATAAGAACGTAAAAGGCTTATGAATTGCTACAAAAATTGCTATTGTATTTCTTGCTTAAGAGATAGATCCCTTTTACATGGCCATTGGCCTTTATATTTATACATAGAGAAACGACATTAAAATGAGTAATTAAGTACAATTATTCCTTCTTAAATGTGTCCGTTTTGATTCTTTGACTTTAATGCTCAACGTTTGAATTTGAGTTGACTCTGATCTTCATGGGCCTCGCCTTTTTGGCCCAAGTGTCCTTGAACCGACTTACCCGTGTCTTCTACACCGAACTCATGTCACAGTGCAGTCACTTCGGATTCTCGAAGTGGTGACAACCACTTCGACTGTTCCTTCGGCTCATGGGTCCAATGGGCTTTATCCTTTATGGGCCATTATCTTGACTACGTGGCAATCTTTGGTTGGTCTCGGACTTCTGGTGCGGGATCCGACACCAACAATTAGCCCCCCAAGTTCTTCGAAGTAATATTCCAATTTGGAGGACTTTAAATGCTTTAATGACCAAAGATTGCGTTCAGAGGAATCTTCTGATTTTTTCCCGCCAAGATCCCATCAGACCTTTAATTTTGGCGCTACCCATATTTAGTCGCGTGACATCTGTCGCCATTATGACCGTATATCGATTATTTACTATTAAAGCGGGAAAAAACCTTCCCACTTCTTCCACGATTCCCAAGACGGTTTCATCATTATCACCTAGCTTGCGTGAGGTAACCTTCTTTTTCATTCTTACTTTTACTCTTGATCTTTGTGGTTAAAACTCCTTCTACTTCTCTCTCCAAATTTTCTTTTTCCCGAAACTTGAATTTTTCATTCTTCCCAATGACTTCCGATTCCGATAGACCCGAGTCTCCGTCTTTCGATGAGAGGCGTTCTAGCAATGATGAGTGCACCCGCCCTAATGATATTGCCGGTCTGCACTATAGATCCACCTGCACCCTTCAATCCCTTGAGCGATTGAAGGGGCTCTGCCGAATCCCACCGAGAATTATGGCAGAGGCGCATATAGCTGATCCTACGGAGTCCCCAGAAAGCCACCGCGACGGCTACTTCTGTGTATTCTAGATCTATTTTAAAGGTTGCGGGCTGACCTTTCCCCTTCCCGAAGCCCTAGTTCGATACCTAGCAGCTCTTGAAATTGTTCTTCCTCAATTAACCCCTAATCTTCTTCGTACTATCCTCGGAATTATAACAATCGCGGCGGAGGCCGGATATGTTATCAGAGTCACTGAACTAAATGAGCTTCTAAGCGTAAGAAGTTCATCGAAGAAGACGGGGTACTTCTCAGCGTATCCGAACGCTAATAGAAACATCATCTCGCACCTTCCAAACAAGGATGAAAATTGGCACCATCCTTGGTTTCTGATTAAGAAAACTCCCGCTTCGATTGGAAATCTTGCAGATTTACTCCCATCAAAGTGGTCTGCGAAGCCTGGTAGAGATTAGGTCGCATATATCTTTTCCGGTTGTTTTATTATCTTTATTGACTAAAACTGTTGTTTCATTTCGCAGCTTTCATCGCTTCCACTCTCCCATCCGAAGGGTTCATCGAGTTCTTCAAGATAATCCTCGAAGGGGAAACCCTTTGGAATTCTTTCACTCTTGAACGATTCCTAGAAGCTAACCACAGACTGAGGATGAGTCCACCGGGTCAACTTCACCAACTTCCGCCTCCTCCCTCAACTCAGGGGATGTCATCTCGGGCCCTTGCGGCCAAGCGTAAGGTGCTTTCCAAGCCGATAGCTGAGGCTTGTGAGGAGAAGAAAAAGTTTCTCGCGACTTCTATAGATAAGAAGGACTACAGTAGGACCCTGCTGGTTGATGATGGCAGCACCGAAGGAGCCAGATCTGTTGCTTCTTTCAGATTAACTCCTCGTCGTGATCATCGTGACTCACGTTCTCCTCAGAGGGACCGATCTCCTCGCCGTGATTCACCTCGTCCTCCCCGAGATGATTTTAGCAACGAACCACTTAACAACTTGGTTCGCAGGAAGAGAGACAAGTCCTCTCGTAGTGATTCTTCCCCGCGAAGGGAGAAGTCAAGGGCCCGGACTGACCGTTCACCTCGATCATCCCCTCCTATTGAACCAATGGGTCCTCCACGACCGGTTGAAATGTCTTCCTCTTCCCAGCCTGACAGTGAAAAGACTGCCCGGAGCGCATCTCCAAAAAAGGGAGTTTCTGAATCCCGAGATGCTTCCTCGAGGTTAAAGCCTGCTCTTGTCCCTCAAGTCAAATCGCTTTCAGGTTTGGTGATTTACACAGTCTTAAAAGTTTTTGTCTCTATTCAGATTCCAATTTTTACAACTCTTCCTCCTTTGCAGCTATGGAGAAGGAAGGCAGCGTTTTCCGATGCTTCAAGACCCGATCGGGTTCGATCTTGCCAGACTTCGACAAGTGGCGCCCTGCGATTCGTGCACGCTATTTGCTTCATGCTTATCACTCATCTCGGGTTAGTTCCGCTTTATTTTTCTGATTGTGCTGCCGTTCATCGAAATGCCTCACCATCTCGATTTCATGCATAATGGCAGGCTAACGGTGAGCTTAATGACATGATTGAACATTATGAGGGGCTGGTCCTTGGTCGGGAAAAGGAGATTGACGCGTGGAAGAAAAAACTTTCTGCTCTTGAGGCTGAACTAAGCTCTTCTACCGGCTCCAAGCACGATCTGGAGGACAAAGTCGACAGTCTAACATCCGAGCTGGCGAAGATTAAGGGGGAACTGCAGGACCAGTACGACCAAAATTTCAACTCCAGGATGAGCTGTCTAGTGTTCAGGGTAGGCTTCACGAATCCGAATCAACCGCCGATACCCTGAATAACCAACTCATTGAGCTTAACGCGAAGTACAAGGCGATTGCCAAATTGCGTGATTCCGAGTTGGAAAGGTCGGCATCGAAAGCCAGAAAGGAAGTTAAGGGACACGGGATGGAGTTGATCCAAGGGGCCATCCGCTTCATGCAGACTGAGAAGGCTAGGTCAGATTTGGAATCAGACATCAAGGAGCACGAGAGCAACCTGATTCTGTTGGATCAAATCCATGATACATATTTCTCCGAGGAGCAAGAAAGGACCGAACTGTCGGCTAATCTTTCTGAAAAGCGGAGTCGCTTGGCAGCTCTTCCCACTTCGACCTTCAACCCGCAGGATTTCGAGGAATTCTTCACTGAATCGCCTCCTATAAGTGAATCGGGTCTAGACTGGGCAGGTAATGCTTGGCTCCTGACACTTACTACCTTTTTCTCACCTTATGTGTTTTTTTTTTTTAAAAGTTGACTGGAACTGTCCTTCCCAGGTTCAAGTGAGGCGGAGGATGTCGTCCCACCCGAAGTACCTGCGGCACCGGCGGTCACTCCGGAGGATGGTTGTAATGTAGAGGGCGGACCAAGAGCTCCATCCGACCAAGCACCAGTCAAGGAGGTGAATGAAACTTCGGTTGCTGAGCCGGAGTCCGAGGTGGATATCACTCCGTAGTGGCTGCGTCCACTTTAAATTGGGAATTGTCCCATTTATTTTAAAACTTAATTTTGAACTTGTCTTTGCCTAAGGAGGCTTTGTTATTTCTTTTGAACAAGATATTTGCCTGAGGAGGCTTTTAAACCTTTTTAGGTTTTGACCCCAAGGGGGTTCGGTTAAAATTATGTGCGGGTTTGCAAAGTTCGCTTTTAACCCTTTGTGGCCTTGTGGTTATGCTTTCGAGATTTTTAGGCTGATCAGACCTTTCTCTTAAGAATGCGAGAACTGAGCTCGGCTTAAAGCGAGTTCCCCACTTCGGGTTTAGTAAACTCGGTAAATTTATTGGGCTTGGGCCTTAGAAACACTACAAGAATATTGGCTTTTCGTAGCGGCCAAAAAACGCTATTGATAGATACCATAGCGTTTTACCAAACGCTATATCATCGCACGCTATAATAGCTCCGCCACTTTTTATAGCGGTTTTATATCCTGCTATTATTGTATTATCTTTAATAGCGTTTCTGAAAAGTTATGAATTACTCTTTCATAGCGTTTTATTTACGCTGTTAATATATGTAATGACAGCGTTTTATAAATGTTATTGTTTTGAATAATAATAGCGTTAGATATAAACGATTTTTCGTTATTATTGGTACACAATTTGATAACCTGTTTTTGAATACCCCATTTTAGAATATGAATACTCTATAAAATCCAAACATAACATTAATCCAAACATAACATAAAAGTCAACACAACAAGTTTCTCTACTAAGGCAACATCCACACACTAAGGTTCTCTACTACCACAACAAGTTTTTTCAAACATCATCACATAAAAAGAAGTTTATCACTAGGCCAAGCCACAAGACTACCTAATGCATCATCAATAGTCTGAATTTCTGAACTTGGTTTCCACTATTTCGCACGTGGTAAGTTGTTGAAGCAGAATTTAAGGCAGCTAGTGCTTCAGCCCTTTGCCTTGGTCCTTGGTTTCCACCGTTAGACTTATCCTGCAGCAGCGAAAGGACAAATATCATGAACCAAAGTAGCCGGAAAGTAATAAGGGGGTTTGTTCCATTGTCCTAATTAACAAAACTGAAAATGCAGAGGTGTAGTACCTCCACAACGTGGTGAGTGCCAAATAACAACACTGCCTTTTTCTGGAATGAGTTTCCTTGTGCCTATATCACAGTTTTAAAACATTGAAGAAAGTTAAATGCAAAGGAAAATCCGCGAGGTACACGCAGAGAGTTATACTATCTAAATCCCTCTTCAACACTAAGTCCCTGACTAGCACCTTCATGGAAAGCAGACACATTTTCATGGCACTCACCGAAGAAGGAGAAACAAAACATATATCAAGGACAAGAAAACTTACGATTGCTTTAGTGGGATCCCAACAAAAGTAAGTGGTGAAGAAGCATGGCTCGTTCCCTTCATTCATTTTGTAGAGTGGAACATTAGGAGACAAGCCTATGTGGACATTCTCAACTTCTCAGATAAATATAAAAATCATATGAGTAAGAAATGGAGCAGAAACTACCTTCAAGAATTTTCAGCAACTCAGAGCTCAAGCCACACTGTTTTTGTACCCAGAGCTCAAGCCACCCACACTGGCTCTACAAATAGAAAGAAACAGAATAAGAACCAAATTGAAAACCCCAATCATCCCCAAATCGATTATCCCCAAATCGAAATCCCAATTTGAAACCCAAATTGAAAACTCTTAGTAAATGAAGTAGAGAGGAAGATATATGAAACATCTGTGAGTATCCCTTGGTTTATACAGCTATTGCTTCTCTTCCTATTGATCTGTTCAAACGAGAATTTTCAATTTTATTCCCCAAATTTTCAAAAACCTAGAACATCTCGAATTAGGTACGAGATTAAGTAGTACCAGGGAGAGATCAGAGATAGCTGGATCAGGGGAATTTAAAATTCTAAGGAGATTGAGAACAGAGACTTCGATTCTAGCACGAGCCTGAAACAACGAGCTTCGATTTCAGTCAGAACTACGAGATTAGACGGTGAAGAAGATCAGCGATTTTAGTCAGAACTACGAGATTAGACGGTGAAGAAGATCAGTGAAGAAAATTGGGAGCGAAACTTACTTCGTGAGGGAGAAGAATATCAGCGTAAGAGAGGTTTTGATCGGAGAAGAACTTCATCGATGAGAGTCCTGAAAACAGGAGATTGTATAGTAAGCTCTCTGCAAATAGAAAGAAACAGAATAAGAACCAAATTGAAAACCCCAATTATCCCCAGATCGATTATCCCCAAATCGAAATCCTAATTTGAAACCCAAATTGAAACCCTAACAATCTAACATACCTTTGACCGTGACAAAATAAGCCGAAATCTTCCTGCAAACAAAGGTAATAATCGACTGGAATCAATTACAACTTTTAAAAACCCTAAATCGAGACGAAATTTCACACAAGTACCGTTTATAGTTACAGAGATGCAACACCAATCGAGTAGATCCCGTAAACACAAAGAGCTTCAATCGAATGATATGAGAGATTGTAAGAGAGCTTGAATCGAGTGAGAGATTGAATCGAGTGAGAGAGTGAATCGAGCGAGACAATGTAAGAGAGCTTGTTTTGAGTTCTCTGAGCTATACTTAAGAAAATATCGAGACTTTCAGAGGGAAAAGGAAATTTAGTTTCCCGGGTTCAAGGCCAAATTATTTTTAGGTTTTCCCGGTTCACTTCTAATAGCGTTTCTTGATAATTCTCCTATTAAAAAATATGCTTTAAATACTTAGAAACCCAAATTATTAGGCGCGTGTTTATATTTTTATCTGTTAAGAGTATTAATAGCGTTTCCAAAACTACAAACGCTATCTTAAACTCGTCCTATAACTTATAATAGCATTTGTGAACAAAACGCTATAGTATTGTGCTATTAAAAGCCAATATTCTTGTAGTGAAACTTTTGTAGCTAATGCGACGGTTGCTCTTTCCCTTCTTATTTCTTAAAAGTAAGAAAACGGCTCGTCTTTAATGCAATAACTGCCTTTTCTCGATTTTCCAAAAATGATTTAAACCACTCGGGCACGCTATCATTATTGGATTTATGGTTCCAAGGCAAACCCTAAACCATTATAAATAAAGGCTTACCTACCTCTAAGCTTTCTTTAAATACGATTTTAGAATCTTACTTGAGAAATATTACGAGAATGGAAAACGAAAAAGTAGCCCCCATTGATCCCGGCAGCCCACTCTTCTTGTCCGGCGACGGCTTTGAACTGGCCGGCGTTCTTTTCCCTCACGCCGTCTTTCACTTTCCTTCAAAGGAGAAGAAAGAGGCTTGCGACTTTATTGACAAGGTTAATATCTGTCGTCTTTGATTAAAAACTTTTGTTTCATCTTATTCATTCATCTTTATGCTAGGTCGCCGACAAACACCGTCGCTTGTGTGAAGAGAGACAGCGGCTAGGCCTCAAAAGGCAAACACTCGAGGCTCGCATCGCTCGGGTGGAGAGGAAGATACGGGCTTTGGAAAGTGATCCCTTTCAATGGGAATGGCGGAACTTCAATTCTGTTGCTGAGATCCCGAAGATGCTTCGGATGTATCTCCGTACTAGAGGAGTTCCGGGTCCTGTGAATGCTCCGGTCCATACCGTTCCATCTGATAGCGAGGAAGAAGACGAGGAGGAGGCCAGTACTAGTAAGAAACGCGTTCGGGATTGTTCCGAGGTGGACGCCAAGAACAAGGCGTCCACTTCGAAAGCTAAAACGGCAATGAAGGAGCATGTTCCTGAGCCTCTTCCATAAATGTCTTCTAACCTCTCCAC